TTGTCTTATCCTTGTTGTTATGTTGTTATAGAAACCAATATGCCGTTTTCTCCATGAGTGTAAATTTTAAAAAAAGACAAATACAGTGTAGTTTTCCTACCTTTCATATTTGACTAGTATTTCATTACTGCACTGTTATTTGGGAACGATTAGACAATTCGCATTATTTATAAAGAACATCAATTAACATTAAATTCAGTATGATGAATTGAGGAACACGTGGGTATATTTTTCGTACAAAATTTGCTTAGATTTATTGCTGTACTATTGGTTTTTTTTTTCAAGTTTGGAAACTATCATACAATACTCATGTTATATTATCCTATAAGAGATGTTGGGATTAACACTTGAGGAACATTAATTATTTTGTATTGACTTCATTGTTCTTACAAGTTTTAGGTAATTGTATCATCGTAAATGAAGGTCGAGGTATGTAGCGAAAAATTACTCGTTAAACTTTTTCTTGTGCTTTATTTTTTATCACTCAGTCAGTTTATGTCCGATTTATTTCAAACATGTATATTATATTATACTTTTTTACAATTCATTTTGTGTAATTCTTATGGGACATTGGGGTTAATATAGTAGACTAGTATTATTGGAAAAAAACACAGCTAATATTGTTCTTGCAAAATTTTGCTCAGTGCTACTGTCCTATTATTTTTATAATTATTTCTAAAGTTCACAATTCAAACTGAAACGAAATATTTCCTTTGGCTCATGGAATAACACTGAATTATTTTCAAATGTCGTAATTTGCACTGTGCACGTTGATTGGATTCGACTGTTGTTACATTGCATACGCATATACCCATAGTAGATGCAACAATTACGTTACTAGAACGCGCTCCTCATCCTGCATCCGGGATAGGGAAACCCCAAACAGCAAATGGGCTGCATACCACTTTGGTTTTCCACAGAATGTGGGTATAGATGGATATAATGAAGCAGCATTAATTGTGTTAGGAAAGCAAAGCAGATGTTTGTATCCGTCGACGAGGGCGCAATTGAGACAGGGTGTCTTCGTTTCTTTGATTTGAAGAGATACAAACGTTCTTAAATCTAGCATAGACACATTTGTAGCGTCACCGTTATTATTCCTATTATTATTAATCCTTTATTTCAGGCCAAAAAAGTCCCATATTAAATACATAACAAACACCAACACTAATAAATACAACGTCTATACATGACATCTTCTGGTTAATCTGTTTTGTCAACTGTATCGGCAAGTATCTTCATGTCAGTTCTTTAAAAATAACCTGAAACGTTATCACATCGTTTTATGTTTCGAAGTCACAGATTAGACGTCATCGCATGAACTTATGCGTGAAGTTATACAGGCTGACATTGCTGTCTGTGTTGGCTAGTCACTGTGAGAACAAGGTTGCGAATAAAGATATCAAGTTTTACTAATTTACCAAATAGTATACTAATAGTCCAAAGTTGCTATTATCCAGAAAATTGCTTTCAGAATTGTGATGACGTTATCTTTTCAAGGACGGGCACATGGGACAGGGAATGTTCTATATCTTCTCAGACCATATGTAGATCGACGTGCTTGTCTTCTTGATTCATGGGCGTACTGACTATTTACACAATTTGTCAACCAGCTCTGATTTCGCTCGAGGGGCTCGCCGCTCGTGGCGCTAGTTCGTCACATTGGAGGAATGCAACTCAACACACACACACGCAAGTAACTGGAAATTTCTCGAAAAGTTGGGAATAACAACACCAGAACGTTCTCGAAATGTGGGAAAAATATATAAAACCAGCACATGCCAACAGCACAGCAGTTACCTGACTACTTCACTGAATACGTGAGAAGAAAGAAGGAACCTTTTATATTCTACCAATATAGTAAACACTATATACAAAGGATCAATGGCTTGTTTTATCGTACCAACTACATATCATCGGCAGTTTCCTGTTAACCCCATTTTACGGAGACGCTTCCATCCGTATCAAATACCAGGACAGGCTCTTGCCAACGCCATGTTAGAGGACATCGTCAAACTTAACGCCAGCTGCGATAACTGTCTCTGTCAATATGGATCACCAAGACTGGCGAAACGAAAGCATCTCGCCAAACGCACATTGACCAAACAGACTGAGAAAGATGGAAAGAAGGAACTTTATAGTGAACCTGTAACTGAACTCGATAATTTGGAACAGAGTCTCATCGAGCCAAGTAACTTCAAGTTGGCTGTAGAGGTTGGAAATGTCAGTCCCGATGACCTGAATGCTAAACTTTCAGACGGCGTTCTCACAGTGACTGGTAAATCAATGGAGGCCGACATAGACGGTAATGTGAAAAGCATGTATTCCTTCACCCGTGAGTTTACGCTTCCGGAAGACGTTGACGTCGACTCTCTGACGTCGAAACTGACAGCAGACGGTGTGCTGACGTTCGAGGCTCCATTTCTGACATTGGGAGGACCAACAGAAAGATATTTGCCTATTACAGTTGACAAAACTGACGTGGCAAAGGAACCGGCATCGAACAAACTGAATGAAGAAACCAAGCCAGAAACTGAATTGTCGCAATTACAAGAATCTCTGACACATGAAGAGAAACATAATGTCGCCGACGCGGAGCATTAGAAATGAGCCTCTATGTTCGAAAAATCACATTTATAGATAGATCTATACAAACACAAGCAACTATTTATCTATAGAATCTACTGTAGGGACTGTGATTCATCGCACATCGTTTTTAAATTTGTTATGAAATTGTTTATTTGAATGTCAACGTTGTTTTTTTGAGAAATATTTCTGTTTTGAGAAACTAATATCATACGTTTTTTAACAAATGTATTCTATTATCCAATGTTTTACATTGTTTGAATGCATTTAATGATAATTATAATAATGATAATCTTTCTTGCATAATCGTATCCTTATTTGGCTATTGACTCAAAAAAAAAAATTGCAATAAAGATGAAAAACTGAGGAAGTAACAAAATGGAAGCGCTAAAATTGGAAAGAATAAAAAAAAGCAATAGTTTATTTATTTAGGGGCAGCTGGTAGTTTTTTGAAATTATTTTCTCTTGTACTGAAACAATTATTGATGTAGCTTGGTATTTTTTTGTATTTTTTGGCTGTTATTGCTTGTTAGCATTGTAATCAATTTATTGGTATTTGTGTTGTTGCAATGTATTCAATTTATTTCCTTCAACATTTCACTTCTCTCATTTTCACACAACTTGCATTCAAGTAAGAAGTGCATTTTGTCTTTAAGATCATTTTGGTCACAAGCAGTACACTTATACCACTGCAAGGATTTTTTTATGTAATAGATAATGTAATAATAATGTGTTATATTTATTTATTGAAGTTGGGTGTAATAAATATATGATGTATTCTAAAACAATATATTGTCTTATTTTAGCCACGTACATCACGCGAGACTGCTAGTACTTGTGTAATTGGCTAATTTATCAAATTGTAAGCTATAAAACCCCGGGAAGCAACAGAAAAGTGTTTGAAAATTACCAAATTTACCATTACAAATGAAAAAATTAGCATTTGTATCTCCTTTACTCTAATATACATTTTGGGGCAGTTAGATTTGAATTCCAATGCTGCACTACTGGCAATGTTATTTTAAATATTTTTAATTTTCATATTTCAACGTTTCTTGAGAAAAAACTTACCAATGTATTTAATTGGAAGCATCATTAAACTTGAAACTAATTTGAATTTCTGAATTGTTTTAACAATGTTAGATTTTATGCTAAACACAATCTATGGTATTTTTATCTATCCTCGGGGGCGGAGCTACGTCACAGACGTTCCACGTTGCTACGACGCGCACCACTGTACATGCATTTCTATGGGCTCTGTGCGCGCTGCTGTGGAACGCCGGTCGAGCCGGTGAAAATTCGAGAAAACAATACAAACTCAACTTTGAAGTAATCCCGAACAATCAAATTTATATATGTTACACACGTAGGGATAATCTTGTTGCACTGTTCAGAGGAGTCTCAACAATCACCCCAAAGTACCGTTTTCTGCAAGTTTTGGGCCTTTGTTTTCACCGCCGCAGGTTGCCAGGCGGTGAAAATGCCCGGATGTCCGCCCCCGAGGATAGCACCAAGCAGCATTTCGTGATACGAATAAATAATTACACAACATAACACCGAGCACAAATACAAACTATAATTAGTACCACTGTTTTAAAAACAAAGATAAATTAGTTCAGTGCAGTTAGGTGTGAATATTTTATTTTCACCATTTTATTAGCAAAAACAGCAGGTCATATCATTGGGTCTGACCAGCTGAACGCCGAAGGATGGAGTTCTTGATACCTCCATACCAATAAACTGTATTACTTGTGGTGATTCATCTAATAATAATAGTTACTCAAAATATAATAATTGATTTTTACAATATCCTTATAACAAATTTGATGAATGCATTGAAGTACAGTTCAAAGTTGCGATGAAAATTTCCTAGTTATATAGCTGTGCTAAATAGACCTAGTAACAATATTTCTGTAGAAATGTGTATACCGTTACAAATTTGGAGAATAATTATTATTAAACAACAACTA